GCTTGCCTTGAGCCAGCCAGATGGCTCTGCAGGTAAAGATCCGTACCTCCAAGCCTGATGACCTGAGTTCAATCCTGGAACTCGCAGGGTGGGAGGAGGGAACTATTTCCCACAAGTTGTCCTCTGACCTGCACACAGGAGCCATGACACATACAACAACCCTCTTCCCCCATAGATGATAGATAAATACGTAGATAGAGTAGATAGATACATAGATGATAGATTGGTAGATGATAGGTGGATGATTGATAAATGACAGATGATAGATAGGTAGATAAATTGATTGATTGACAGATGTTAGGTAGATGGTTCATAGATGACAGATAGATAGATGATAGGTAGGTAGGTAGGTAGGTAGGTAGATAGATAGATAGATAGATAGATAGATAGATAGATAAGTAGATAGATGAAAGGAGTGCTTGCTTCATATGCGCAGTACCCTGGGCTTCAGCTCCGGTACCACAGGTGCTGAAGTGATAGTGTGGACCTATAATTCCAGCACTTAGGAGGTGGGGGGGGGATCAAAAGTTCAAGGTCATCTTCTTTTGAGTTCCAGGCTCCAGGTCAGCCTACCTGAGACCTGTCTCAACAATGACAACACAAACCAACACCAACAACAAATCCTACAACCAGGTTCCTTAGGTGAGAGAGCGCTGCTCTTCCAGGGACCAGAGTTTGGTTCCCAGCACCCACACACATCAAGAAGTGCTGGGCAGTGGTGGTTCACGCCTCTAATCCTGCACTCGCATGTAACAGACATGTAAACATACACATATATAAAAATTCATAAAATAAGATTCCCAAGTACCTAAGTAACCGAGCATGGTGACACATGCCATCAGCAGGCAGGAGGATGGTAACTCCACAGCTAGTCTGGACAATGCCAGACCCTAAATTCAAATGAAGTAGCTGAAGAGAGCCCCAAGGGCTACACCCCAGTCCATTCAGTCTGCTTCGTGTTCGTGTGAGAAGTGGAGAGCAAGACTCTCGGGGCAGCAGAGCTGTTCACACACATGACAGCAAGGACGACTGTGTGCAAGCCACAGAGCTGGACTTGGGGGGAAGCCGGCCTTGCCGACTCCATGATCCCTGGCTTCTGGCTCTGAGAACAGTGAGAATATAAATTTCTGTTGTTTAAACCCAGCCTGTGGATTACTGTCATGGCTGCCCCCATAAAGCGATACAGTGACCCATGAGGGCAGGGTGGCAGGGGGAGACAAAAGCTGTAAGATGTTGGTTTTCTATGCATAGGCTTGCTCCTCTTTTTGTGTGTGTGTGTGTGTGGGGGCATTCTAATCCAGCCTCCACTGAGCCACACCCAGCATTACTGTAGGGACAAGACTGCTGGAGCGCATTCAGTTTTCCCGGAACCGATTTTGGCAATTTTCTCTACTGCCCAGCAACACCACTCCTTCATAATTTACTAAACAAACCAATTTTACTGTCAGCACGTTAAACGTGTTCAGCTGCATCACACGGCTGCCCAAGAAGCAAGGTTAAAACTGCCTGCAAATATACGGTACCCCAAACTAGCTTTCTTTCTTCCTTACTAGAGGCGGGGTCTCACCGTAAAGCCCAGGCTGACTTTGAACTTTCGGTCCTCCTGCCTCAGCCTCCCAAGCTCTCCCCGCCTCCCAAGCTCTCCCCGCCCCAGTCACCACCACCAGCAGAAACCACCTTGCCTGCAGCTCCAGAGCATTTCTGGAATTCCTCCCACATTCCTCCCACCTGTGGGTTCCACCCACCAGGCCGGCAGGTCCCACCCACCCATCCTCTCTACTCAGGAGCTGATGGCCTGGAGGCAGTGAGTGGTAGGCGGGACTCACACCACCGCCTCCTCTGCTGGCTCCTCCCATGCTTTCCTCTTCAGCGAAAGTAGCAGAACCGTGCGGGGGTGGGGGTACAGTCTGCTCCCCCGCCTTTCCTGTCCCATCTCGTTCCCACTGGCTGTCTCTAGGTCTCTAACGTTTTAGAGCCCTCACCGGCCAAGGGGCCTTTGCGCAGGACTCTCTCTACTTAGCCTCTTTCACCGCTTGCATCTGGTCTTCTGGACAATTCCTCAGGGAAGCCCTCCAGGCTAGGCCCCTGATTGACCATCCAGATACCACTTTTTTTTTTTTTTTTTTGGCACGCCTTCGTAATCTGATTTACTAGGCAGACAGCCGATTAATGTTCCTTTTCCCATTCCCAACTTTCAGATACACAATACCAGAATTAATAACCCTAATATGAGACCTCATTCATTGCACCCCCCAGCCTGGGATCTGGTCAGTAGGCCAATTTGTTGGTTGAATAAATATTGTTGTTGTTACTGCTCCCCTAAATTCTTCCATCGCCATGGGACGGTGTGTGTGGTGGTGCATTGCTCGAATCTGTCTTCAGAAGGGTAGTCATAAAGCCAGGGGTGGTGGAATACAACTGTAATCCCAGTGTCAGAAGTACCAGAAGTTCAAGGCCATCCTCAGCTCCACAGTAAATTTAAGACTAGCTGGGCTAGGGTTTCCCGTAACCCTGTCTGGGCCAGGCAAGGTGGTGCTTTGCATTTGCTCTTAGCATTCTGGAAGGCTAGGCAAGAGGGTTCTGAGTTCAAGGCCAGCCTGGTCTCCCGGAGAAGTCAAGGCCACGCAGTAAGACAAAACAAAGCCAAACGAGAAAGAAAACGAAACTGTCTGGAGAAGGTGGGGCGGGAAAGAAAGGGTCAGTATTCACATCTCTGCAGTGCACCTGGTCACGTCTTCTTGGACTGCCCCCGCTAAGGACTGACCCATGGTGTTGCTAGTGGGACAATGTTGTCCAAGGCAAATGGCATCAGAGGCAGGACTCTTCTACTGCGCACTGTGTTCTCCAGGGTCCCTCTGGTCTCTCCAAGATTGTCTATTGATGCCATAGCTTGCACTCGGCTACCTCAGCTTCACGTTCACACCCTCACTCGCCCAGAAGACTGAGTCAGGAACCTCGAGGGTCTGAGGCCAACCTGGGCTCTATAGCAAGTCCCTGCCAAAATAGACAGAGGTGGGAAGGGAGAGAAAGGGAGGGAGAGAAGGAGGGAAGGAGAGAGAAAGAATGGGACATTTCATAACATACCTGTAACCCCAATATTAGGCAGGTAGAACAAAAAGATTACCATGAGTTCGAGGTCAGCCGGAGTCACTTGGAATTGACCTCCTGGAATTGACGTCAGGCCGGCTCCCAGGACATGATGGTGCGGGACTTTGCCGGTAGAGGGCGCCGGAGGGAGCACCGTGGGTAGAAAGGATTCTCGCCTGTTTGTGTCCTCTAGAGATCATCACCCCAGCCACAGGGTGGAGCAGCTGTCAGAGCCCTCGAGGCCCCCTGCAGCCCTCCCGAGGTAGAGGTCTCACATCTGCCTTGTTCTACCCGCCACCCAGCCACCGGCCTCAGCCCCTGTAGCTGCAGATGCTCTACTTCCCATGAATACCGAACAGCTGTAGCCGGGCACCCTAGCAACTTCTCCACATCCATACTCCTAAGAGATCAGAACCCAAGGAGCACCTGCTTTGTTGGAGGTCCCCTAGGGAACTTTTGTTTTTTTGAGATAGGGTCTCTCTGTGTAGCCCTGGCAGTCCTGTAAATCACTCTGTAGACCAGACTGGCCTTGAACTCACAGAGGTCCACCTACCTCTGCCTCCCTAGTGCTGAGATTAAAGGGGTGCACCACCACCGCCACTGGGACCCTAGGGAACTTTTAAATTCCTTTGTGTCTTTTTTACCTTTCGGTGTAAGCCTGATCTCTTTCTGTAATAATCAGACCCTGATTTTTTTTTCTTTTTGGTACTACTAGAAGTTGAAGCCAGGGCCTTGCAGTGCTGAGCAAGTCCTCCATCACTGAGCCACAGTCCCAGTCCCATTGGTCCATTTTAACCCCTGTGTAGTTAAGGCTCCAGACTGCCCCACCTACTGCACTCCTGCTCTCCTTCCCAGGCGTCAGGCTAAGGGACTGTCATTCTCTTCCCCTCCATTCCTGCAGTCACTGTTCCCCAGATCTCATCATGTGACTAATTCCTTCTTGACAAGACCCTCAGAGATCACAAAACACGAACCCACCCCCCCATGCTTGGACCATAATCCAGATGGGCCCTGTGTACCCTGTTCCCCAGCACAAGACGGGCTCTCTTCCAACACACACATCTCCGCTCCCCAATTCTCCCTTCTGCTCCAGGACTTCTTCAGTCATGGTGGTCTCCTCGAAGTTCAGATGGGCAGAGCAGATTCCACCTCACGGTTTCTGTACTTGTTAGCCTATTTTTTTCTTTTGCAATGCCAGAGATGAAACTCAGGGCCTTGCACACAGATAAGGGAGGCAGCACAAGGCTACATGCTGCCCAGCCTCCACCTTCCATGCAAGGTTTGTTCCCGACTCCACTCTGCCCTCTTCAGAGGTGCTACTTCCTTTAAGAGGCTCTTCACCTGCTTCCCAGCCTCACTGTCTCCTGCTTTCTCTGTGGCACTTATCGCCTGTCACGCAGTATTTGTCGCTATTATTCATTATTCACGTTTGCATTGGCCTCCACAGGAGGAAAGTCTCCTGTGTGAAGCCAGTCTTGGACACTGCAGCATCCCCAGAGCCCAGAATCATACTACTAGGTACAACTTGGGTGCTCAGGAAAGACTGGTTAACTGACTGAATAAAAGACTGTTTCTGCCTGGTGGTAGTGCACGCCTTTAATTCCAGCACTCAGGAAGCAGAGGTGGGGGGGGGGAATCTCTGTGAGTTCAAGGCCAGCCTGGTCTACAGAGCAAGTTCTAGGACAGCTAGGACTGTTACACAGAGAAACCTTGTCTTGGGGGAAAAAAGTGTTTTTGCTTTTGCTACTGCCTCCCCTCCCTTGAATGCTTTCTCTCCTCCCTCCAACCTGCCCTCAGGTCCTTAGCACACTTTTCCAGGAAACCCTCCGTGAATTGTTCTTGCCCCCATCTCACTGGGTAAATTTGGATGTCCTATATAGTCCAAGGGGAGTTTGCAGGCAGGAAAAAAAAAAAAAAAAAACAGGCTGCTTTATTGGAGCAAAGGGAAGAGGGGGAGAGGAGAGGAGGGGGCTCTGGGCTTCAAGCTCTGCACCAGGGTGGTCTCACTAGGGCAAGCGGCTGACGAGTGGTACAGGTCACTTTTTCCACTCTTTCTTTTAGTAATCCCAGTGGGCAGCCAGGCCCTGTATGGGGTTGCTCTTCATGTCCAGGAGGCGCTGGAGCTGCTGGGCTTTCCGCTCCTCCGTCAGGGTGATAACTTTCTCAGGGAACACTGCAGGGACAGCAAAGATGAGAGAGAAGCAGCCCAGGTCCCCAGTCACACTCCCTCTGAGCCCCGGGCTACAGCCACACTGTCAGGGTCCCCTGCACTGAGGGGTTCGCTCCCTGCTATCTCCAGGCTCTCCCCCCACACCCCTCTGTTTCTGTCTCCGTCTTTTTGAAAAAGGATTTTACTCTGTAGCTCTGGTTGTCCTGGAACTCACTATGTAGACCAGCCTGGCTTTGAACTCACAGAGCTCCTACTGTTACTGCCTTCCCAGGGCTGGTGTGCACCGCCAGGCTCTCCAGACGGTCCAGGACCAGGGCTTTCCTGCCAGTTTCCCTTAGACTCACTCCTTCCCCTCAGTGAATCTACTTCCTCACTTCTCTCTGTGACCAGTGGCAGGCTGACATGAAGACAATATGTGCTGCCCACAGCACCACCACCTCTCTACTGTGTGGCCTCGAACAAGTTACTTCACTTCTCTGAGCCTCGCCTTCCTCTCCTGCAAGGAGTAGGCTCTGTCTGGATGGTTCTGGAAACAGAATATGAGTACTTGTGAGGTTCTGGGCATCTCTCTGGCTGGATAGATAGGAAGCACTGGCTGTGGCCTCCCACTAGACGGGAAGGGAGAGGGGGCTCCTTCTGTGTCCTGCAGCTGGGTGGGCGGTGGGATATTTAGGAGCAAAGGTAAGCAGACACCACTGACTTCACAAACCAGGATAGGAGCTAGACGGTGGTGGAGGCCTGTAATCCCAGTACTGGGAAAGCTGAGGCAGGAGGATAGAGAGCTTAAGGCCAGCCTGGAATACATAGTGATAATAAATACCAGAGGAGAACAGCATTTCACCCAAAGACTGGACCCTGAGGGAGGGACTTGAGAGACCCTTACCTGTGGACCCTCTTAGCCTAGCCTCTGTCCCTGGTACTTAACTTTCCCCCTTATTTATTTCGTGGTGGGTGTATGCACAGTGGAGTGAGCTATGGTGCATGTGTGGAGGTGTGAGGAGATGGTTCTCTCCTTCCACCATGAGGCTCCTGGGAACTGAACTCAACTGAAGGCATGGTGGCTCGCACCTTTAGCCACTAAGCCAGGCTAGTCTTAGTTTTTGAGGCAGGGTTTCTCACTGATGCTGGCGCTCACTGCTCAGCTAGATTGGCTACAGGGATCCTACTGTTTCTACCTCCCCAGTGCCCCATCACATCCCAACTTCAAAACAATTATTAATATTACTATTATTTCATGTGCTCTGCTTGCATGTATGTATGTGCACCATGTGTGTGTCCGGTGCCTGAGCAGGCCAGCAAAGGGTGTCATATCCCCTGTTCCTGACAGTTGTGAGCTGTCATGTTGGTACTGGGAATAAATCCAGGTCCTCTGGAAAAGCAGCCAGTGTAACTGCTGAGCCATCTCTCTGGCCTAACGTATCTGCTTTTTATGCTGGGAGTGGGGCTGATGCTGGGAATCCAAACTCACGTTCTCATGTTTGCAAGACGAGTACTTTCCTAAGTGAGCTGTCTCCCAACCTCATCACTGTCTCTATCCAGAGGTAGACAAGGATGGCCCCTAGGACACAGCAAACCCTGAGCTAGACCTTTCCCTAAAGACCTTCCCTTCTCATGTTTGTTTGTACAGGACAGGAATTCCCATCCAGATTTTACAAGAAAAATCACAGCAGGTTACTGCCAGCATTTGGGAGGCAGGAGAGGCAGGCAGATCTCTGTCAACTCAGGGTCAGTCTGGTCTACACAGAGAGTTCCCAAATCAGCCAGGAGCGCATAATGAGACCTTCTCTAAAGTAAATAAATACTCAAACAAAGGGCTGGCAAAATGGCTTAATGGGTAAATGTGCTTTGCCACTGGACCTGACACCTGACTCCCAAAAACTGTCCTCTGACCTCCACAGTAAATAAACTTTGAAAGAAAGAAAGAAATGGCCCACCTTCAAAACAAACAAATGAACAAACAAAAAACAACCCACAACCCGGGCGTGGCAACTCAAGTCTGTAATGACAGCACTGGAAACAGCAAAGCAAAACAATTGCTGCAAGTTTAAAGCCAAACTAGGCTCCTTGGTGAGTTTCCCGTAGTCCTGGATGTGGTGGTTTGAACACAACACGAATGGCCTCCCATAGGCTCATATATTGGAATGCTGAGTCATCGGGGAATGCCACTATTTGAAACGGATTAAGAGGTGTGGCCTTGTTGGAGGAAGTGTGTCACTGGGGGTGGATGTTAAAGTTTCAGAAGCCAGAGCTAAGCCCAGTGTCACTCTCTCTTCCTGCTGCCTACTGATCTAGATGTAGAACTCTCAGCCACTCTTCTAGCACCATGTGTGCCACCATGGCGATGGACGAAATGCTTGCTTTTGTTAGAGTTGCTGCGGACATGCGTCTCTTCACAGCAATACAACAGTGGCTAAGACAGTGGCTTAAAGAGTAAGACCTTGCATTCATCCACTTATTTATTTGGTTGGCTGGTTTCTGAGACAGGGTTTCTCTGTGTAGCCATGGCTGTCCTGGAACTCACTCTACAGACTGTTGTCTATAGACTCAATAGGCTGTTGTCAATGTCAGAGACCCATCCACTTGCCTGTGCTTCCTGAGTGCTGGGACTAATGGTGTGTGCCACTACTGCCCAGCAAGATCTTGCTTCTAAAAGAAAAAAAAAGTGTCTGGTGTGGTAGTGCATGACTTTAATCTCAGCATGTGAGCTTGAGGCCAGCCTGATCAACACAGGGAGCTCCAGGCCAGACAAGGGTACCTCTCTCAAAAGAGACAGAGACACAGAGAGAGAGACGAGAGATGATTCCCAGAAAACATTTCCTAGTTTCTCCTGTAGCTAAGCTAAGCAAGGACATATTATCATCTGTAGCCAATAGAACAGAAATAGATGCTGGACATGGAGAGGCATCTTGTACATCAAATGCAAGCTTCACTTCCTGTTAAGTGTAACAGAGCAAAGGGTCTGTGAGTGCCCATCTTGGCCTGGATTGTTTCACTGGCCTTTTATTGTGAGAGAGGAATAACCCTAGCTAGAAGTGGTCCTGCAAACCTAACCCCAATTCTCAGGAAGGAGAATCCCAAGTCTGAGGTCAGCCTGGCCTGCATAGTAAAGCCTGCTTTAAAGAAGAAGGAGAAGGGGGAGGAGGAGGAGGAGGAGGAGGAGGAGGAGGAGGAGGAGGAGGAGGAGGAG